TGATCGTGTTGCTTGGCACTACGAGCCATTGTGTTCGCTCTCAGGTCCTACGACAGTCAGGTTGAAGATGCCCAAAACCCCTGGCCGAAGATCGAGGTTTCGCCTGGTTCCAATGGAAAGAAGGCTTTCCAGAAAAGCAAAGCTAAGCCTTTGAGAACGGATACCCAGGAGACCATGGTGGTGGAAACTCCGAAGTGCCGTGCCCGTGCGAAGTCGACAGACAGCGGCCTTGAGAGTGCAGACAAGACGAAGAACCCCAAGAGATCTTTGAGTGCTGCTTTCAAGGATGCAAGCAAGCAGCCCGCAACAACAGCCGAGCCAGCAAGCACCACGAGCTCGCCACCTTCCAGCAACAAGCGAAAGCTAATCGATATGGGCAAGCCAAAGCCAGCAACCAAGAAGCCCAAAACCCCAGATGAGAAGAAGAAAGAAGCAGAAGAAGCCAAGCAAGCAGCCTACGAAATGAAGGATCATGCCACTGCAAGAAGCTCGCATGAGCCCCCGGCCACTGCAGCCTGCAAGCTATCGGGCGGTGCACGCATCGTCAAAAAAGGTGGTGGTAAGAAGAGTGCCAAGGCAAAGGCCAGCCCCTGTGCCCCCAAGTCCGAAAGCCCTTCCACCACACGAGGTAGCAAAACCAAGCACAGTGAGAAGAACCTCGCCGAGACCCCCAAGGAGAAGCAGAGAGAAGACGAAAGCGCCAAGAACCCAGCCCAGAAGGAGGATGCTGCCGAGACCCCCAACAAGAAGCCCAGGAAGAGCTGTGCCGAGACCCCCGACAAGAACCCCAGCAAGACCCAAGAGACCGAGAAGGATGAGAGCACAGAGTCCAAGTCCAAGCAAGGCCTCGAGGTTGCAGAGAAGAAGAAGAAGGCCCACAAGCTCTACATGAGGTTCTGGCGATCAGTTAATGAATGCCTTGGGCCTGGACCGAGTGCTCAATGCTTCCTTGTTTTCCCAGATGGTTCCAACTTGATTTATTCTTGAGAGTTGAGTTAGGTCGGGGAACCTCAATGGAAATCAAGAACGCCTTCGACCGCTTCAAGTATTGCCTTGACCTCAAATACCACTTCCGGCCCAGTCAATACATGTCTCGTCGTCCGAGGCAAGACACAGATGTCCGCCCTGTACGAGGATTTCATGCAGTGCAATGGCAAGTGGCAGAACTCTGTCATTATGAAAACAATCCGCCACAAGCATAAGAACGGCAAGCGAGCCTCACGCAGATGGCTCACGAAGAGCCAACTTCTGGCACACTTTGGTGACGAAGCCACTGTCGAGGCCATAGTACTGAGGAAAGAAGCCGACAAGGAATTGGCCGAGGCGGAGATTCGAGACCACCCCGAGCTGCCAGGCAGGATAGTCTTGATTTTGTTACACTTTGCTGAAGCAGCTTAAGCAAGGAAGACACCCAGATGCACGGCAGGCCTCAGGCAGTTCCTGGTCCTCGTCGAGGACGAGGAGGTGGACGAAAGCACGGATGAAATCGAACAGCTGTTCAACATGGAGCAGCGACCCGGAAGCGAGTCGAGTGACGATTCGAAGGACATGGCTCTGTACGTATGACCACCGAACATTTCGGCTTTCCGTCTTTTTTTCTTGGATGCAGGACAGCGATGAGGATTCCAGCAGCAGTGCTGCTGCCAAGAAGAAGAAGACAGACAAGAAAGAAAAGAAGGATAAGAAGGATAAGAAAGACAAAAGCAAGAAGAAGAAGAGCAAGAAGAGGGGAGGCAAGGGAAAGCTCAGGAAGGCAGAAACGCAAGAGGATTTGGACAAGGAGCAGAGTCGGAAGGTGCAGCAGGAGGGAAAGAAGGCATTCATCACTCGGGTAGTCCTTTCTGGTCTGTTCATAAAAGTTGTTTCGCCAGGTTATCAGCACCCTGAACCGGAAGATCAAGGATGCGACCACGAAGATCGATTCAAAAGAGGTGAGTGCCTTGTCCGGGGCCCAAAATCGACTACCGAACTTGCTCTGCTATTTGCATTATACTACACACCTTTGCCAAGGAATACCAATGTCCGGGAGGCCTTGAAGACGGATCTCCAGGCGGTGGTGAAGAAGCTCACCTCTGCCCGTACCCAGCTGCAGACGGCACTGGACTCGGCTCAGGACACCATATGCACATTATCTTTGAATGGGTTCCGATTTTATTCTGCCTCTCTAGGACAGCAAGATCATCGACAAGACGACGGCCGCCAAGGACATTCTGGACCACACCGAGGGATCGCTCGTTGTCGGGGTTAAGAAGAAGACTGAGAAGAAGGGTGGGGACTAGATCCTAAGAGGAGCATCGCACAACGGCCTCGACTGTCGATATGATATTTCACTTAGACTACTGACTACTCGTTGTTTCGGGAAGGCTGTTTGATGCACTCCTAGGTGTGGGGGTCACACCGCCCCTCGGGCAGTCTGCTCCAGGTGCAATCAGTCACCCTACCAAGTAGCATCTTCGCACGAGTTGGGGCTTCTAGCAATCGTGCGATATGAGTTGGTGGGCTGCGATTGGCGAC